TTCCATTGTTATGTACTTAAAATACTAAATAATACTATAAGTTATTTTCAAGAATGTTGATTAAAAATTTCAATTATTGTTATTTGAGGAAATACATGGGCTTCAAGATGTCTTACATGACATCAATAGGCTAGCAAACAATTTTGATAATTTTTGATTATTCAGTTGAAAATTAAACATTCTAAAAACTATAACTTCTAAGAGAAAATAATCCTATGAGTTAGAACAATGAGCAAGAACAATATCTTATGTATGTTATTTAGTCACAACATAAAATAGAATTGAACAAAGAAAGTCCAAATAGATGGTTAAGGCCATTAACTGAAAATTTAAAGATAAATACTATTAGGTTCTATTTCCTAACTTTAACCTTTCTTTGTAATTATGATTTAAGTATACCATACATAATCAGTATAAAATTTGATTTTTCTATATAATTTTTAATTTCCTTTATAGTGAGTTTAATTCATCTATACTCTGGTCTCCAATATATGTAGATTTATTTTTAGCATCTTATTTATTGTTGGCATTCACTATGTGTTTTCTTCTTTCTTTATTTATTTTTTGCTCCTTTTCAGCCCTTAAAATTTTTATTTTGAACTTATCCATTCAACTTTTACATTTGTCTTAACATTTTAACTGGAACATTTGAGTCATTAAAATTTAGTGCAAATAACATTACTATTGTTTTCCTGAATAGTATGTGAAAACTGGAAAATTCTCAGTTGAGACCTTTCCATGCATGTGTGCATAGTTGCAAGCATTTTAAAGAGTCAGTTCTTATTTTTGGCAGTTTACTCAATGAGGGTAGTAGGTACTCTCTTACACAATTGTTTGAAAATCTTTTAAGTGTTGTTCTCTTGTGTAATAAATGTGCAACTTTTTAAAAATATATTTTTTTTAGTTGTAGATGGACACAACATCTTTATTTATTTATTTTTATGTGGTGCTGAGGATCAAAGCCAGTAACTCAAATGTRTGAGGCAGGAGCTCTACCACTGAGCTACAGCCCAGTCAACTTCTTACTCTGTCCTCCAATGGGTCTTAACAGTTCTTTTACATAATCATATATTTTTTTGTCTTTCTTCCCTGTATTGTAGGAAATTTCCTGAGATCTACATTCCAGTTAACTAATTTTSTCTTCAGCTCTATCTATAGCTATGTCTGATTTTTAGTCTGCCATTACATTTTAGATTTGTCATCTTGCTTAATTTCTAGACTTTCATTTGATTTTCCCTCAAATGTGTCTGTTCTTTTAACAAYATTTTCTTCTATCACTGTATTTATATTACATTTAAAACATAGTCTGTCTTTTCATTTTTACTTTGTATAGGGTCTTGATCAGATTGCTGTATGAGTATGTTCTTAAAATGCTAACTGTATATTTCAGACTCTCCTTTACAGTGAACTGTTTTCTTGGATGATTTGAAACTTAGTATTATAAGTTTATTTTCATTGGTGAGCTATTTTTGTCATAGTCCAATGCACTTCGATTGTACAAGGGACCCAGATGAGTGGCTTGCTGTTTGTTCTGCTAGTGCCCCAGAARTTTTACTCAACATGTTAATTACACATCTTTTGTTTTTGCTGCCTGTACTATATCCACACCAGAGCATGCCAGAGCTGGGTGTACTAATGTGGTTTTACTATAGGTTTTATTTAAGTGAAGACTTTGTTTTCCTCTGACCTACCATGAATTTTCCTGTGGTTTCCTTGGGCTGGTGGGTGAAAATATCTCAGTCATTTCTCATGGTGAGGCAGCTATTTATGAATTCAGTTTTATTCAAGGTTCTTGTTTTCAAGTCTCAGATCTTTGCTTTCACAAGGCCAGGGCTTCTGCCTCTCTGCCCAAACTAAACCCCTAACTCCTGGCCCTGAGACCTACCTACTCCCATGTCTACTGCTCCTGTTGGCTATCCTGCTGGCCCACACTTACCTCTCCCTTTGAATTGCAACTGCATTTCTGGAACTTGAGGATTTCCCTCCCTCCCTTTCTATGTATGTGTTTTATCCAATATTTCCACTATTTTGAACCAAAGTTATTTGTATTAAGGTAAGTGGTTAAGGAAGAAGTGTGTCTGAATTTGCTGTTTTTAACAAAATAATAAACATTGACAACCACATTTTCTCTATATTTCACATTGTATTACCAATTTAGCTTTTTTAAAAAATTGCTACACACTACCACCCATATCAAGGTAACTTAGTCCTACTCACATCCACTATAAATTATGATTACTCTTATCCAACAGTATACCTACATTTATATCAGAATTTTACATATATATATTGAGTAGATTCAGAGATTATATTTTATATCTGGCTCAATGGTAACTAGGATAGCTTTATTTTGAGCTCTATTGCAGTATTGCTGTGATACATTAAGACCCTAATTCTCCAAAAGTAAAATATTAAATGATAATTCCTAATTGGTAATGAAAATTTTCTGCCTGTTTTTTCTACTTTTGTTCTGTTTCCTACTATAAACCTCAACCCCTCTTGTAAACCATGTAGTTTCATTGTTAAGAAAGTCTTTTGTTTTCCAAAGTAAGTTTCTAAGTAATATTATTTCTTTGAAAGACTTTGGCCAGAAACACCAAGCTTATTGGTAAACAGAAACTAYAGCTTTCACTGTAAAATACTGTAATTACACAGCACAGCAATATCTCTGTGGTTTTTATCACTGAGGAAATCAATAGTAGAATAGACTRCAATTCTCTGTCGGACAACAGTAGATATAAGAGGGTAGATGAAAGGGTTTATTGACTTAGTAGGAGTGCTATGATAGCAAATCAGAGCTGCCCAAGGAAATAGCTTTTTAACTGAACGATTTTAATCCAAACATCAAAATGTTTCAGTCTAACAAAAGACTTGATAAAAATTAAACAAAACAAATAAACAAACCCCAAACCCCTCTTGTAGTCTCATGTCTTATCCCTATTTACACACAAACTCCAGACAATAATTATTGGCAAATATCCAGTCACAAGAAAAAATTCTGTGAATGTGAATAAGGAATGATTTAGATGTTAAAGAGTTYCATGTCATGAGAGCCTTAGTTTGATGATTTCATATTTGTGTTTGACCAACTTAGTCCCTCTCATATCCACCATGAACTATGAATTACTCTTRTCCAACAGTATACCTACATTTACATCAGAATTATATGCATATAWACTTGAGTAGATTCAGAGATTATATTTTATACCTGGTTCAATGGTAACTAGGATAGCTTTATTTTGAGATTTACTGCAGTATTGCTGATGAACTATTTATTAATACATTAAGACACTAATTCTCCAAAAGTAAAACATTAAATGATAATTCCTAATTGGTAATTGAAATTTTCTGCCTGTTTTTTTGTACTTTTGTTCTTTTTCATAATTTAGAAAGACTCATTTTGTATAACTGAGAAATGATCCAGTGTTCCAACTTGTAGCATTGCAATCCTTGTTAAATAGGTTGTTGTGAGGATTATTAAATATGGATAGTAGAAATAATAGATATTAAAGCATTCAAGGTTGAAATATTAAATTGAGAAAGGAAAAAATGTATAAGAGGGAAACAGAAAAACTCTAAATATTGCTACTTTTCAACTACATAAAACAGTTTGTTCTATAGTAAAGGAGGAATCCCACATCATAAAATTTTTAAAGAAAATAACTGGTGCATATTATGTTGTTATTTTATTTCTCAATTTAAACTCCAGCATAGGGGAGRAACCCTGTATCTCTGGATAAATGGTTGGTAAAACAGCTGTATTCTTCTCATTCTAGCATTTCTGATACAAACTTAGCAAGAAACACAGTTGCAGGCCCCAATCATAATCAGAGGCTATAYGCTGCACTCAGCAGCCTGTTCTCAAAGAATGCAATGTGTGGGGAACATAAAAATAGAGGCCGATTGAATTTTTACTGTGTGAGCAGCATAATTATTTATTTGCATTTTAAGTGAGATTTCCTTTTAAAGTTCCTTGAGTGTATAGATTCTGAAAGGTAAACAGAATTTCATATGTGTGGCGAAAACAAAATACTTTTCCTAAATAATAAATACAAATTGCTCTACACAAATACATTTGATTGCTTGAATTCTGCAAACAATCTGTAATGCATTATAAGAAATGTCAACATTTGGCCACCATTAGTTCAGATCCAAATGCAACACTTTGATCCAATCATCTGAACAGGTGCAATTTCAGTACAATTCTTAGCACCTTCATTCATGGTCACAAAAAAGATGGTAAACTGTGAACAGCTAAGGGCTCTCAGTAAAGGGATAAGAGTTTATAAGTATAGAAATCAAATTACCATGTCATTAAGAAAATCTAAAGACAAAAAACATCTAAGAAACAAAGACATGAAAATGGAGGTTATGAAGTTTATATTACCCACTGTGCCACTCTTATGCATTCATTTTTAAAATTTGTTTTATTAACATTATGTCTTTTAAATATATTAAATCATACCCACATTATAATTTCTCACACAACCTCAATACTTTAAGAAACTGTGAGATGTCCTTACTAAACAGTTATTATGAATTGGTAAATCTACCTGCAGAAACGTTCACARTCCTTATATATTTTACACTTCATAGACATTGGTTTGGTGCATGGGTTATGAATAAATTGCTCACTTTTTGGAAGTCATGTCTTGATTCTATGAGGAGTTTAGGGTRCCCTTTTGTGCATGCTAATAAAACTGAGTCATGGTTCCTTGGTGTGGAAAGAATGACAGCCCCTGCACGGAAATGACTAACTCACTCCTTGCTCATGGAAAGCAATGCTGCRTGTCATTTGTTCACTAGACATAGTTATTATTCATTCTGGTTCCTAGGAGATTAGCTTTTTCCAATTTTAAGAGAGAACTAGGATATTGCTACCTTATTGCATTTTTTATTGTTGTTCCAAGAGTTCTTAATTTCTAATATTTCCTTCAAAGATGTCTAAATGGTTTAATCCCAGGCCYCTTAGCATCTGTACTTTGCTCAAATCCACTTACTCTGCATGCAAAGCCCATCGGTGCAGTTCTTCGATTGCAAGACCAGGCCGTCGCAGTCCTTGCCCCCATTCTTAGGGGCTGGTGCTGTGCACTCCCTCCTGCGCCAGTGGGTACATTCAGTCCCACAAGTAGACCACTTGCTCCATGAGGTCCATCTGCCATCCACTGCCATAAGAAAACCAGCATCAGGTCAGAGGGAGAAGCAGGTACTCAAAGGGCCGAGGGGGCAGAGTTTGAGTATAACATAACAAAACAYAAAATGGAGGAAAACGCCCCACTGAGAAGTATTACATTAATTTCAAGCACCAGAAAGTTTATCTGATGTACTGTACACAGTCTGAGTTCTGTGAATAGTTTTGAATGTCATATGACTGTTTTCTCACTGAGGAGCCAAGAAAGGACCACTGGGGCACATAGAAACCAAAGTTGCCACCAGGAACTGTGTAAATSCATGCTGTAGTGCCACCCTTTTTTTCTACTGGGGGAAGCTTCTGGATTTTGTATGGAGAATTAGGGTTCTCTTTTTGGATCCAAATTTCTCTCATTCATAGTAACATGTGAACAATGAAAGCAAACTTACTTGCAAGTTGGAAAAAAAGATCGGTACAGTAGGGAAGAAATCCATTCATTCATTTATTCATCTCTCATTCTTGCTCTGTCACTCCATCTGTCCATTTATCCATCCATCCATCCATCCATCCATCCATCCATCCATCCATCCATCCAAATAATCAGTTCACCTCCATCTATATCTTATATACTTTTAATTTTTCCTTTTTTAAAATTCAGACTGCATGATTTAGCTGAAATCTTCTGCCAATACCTTCTTTAAAAGGCTATTATTTGATGATTCCATTATTTGATGATTCCATTATTTGATGATGTATCCTTTTTTTTTTTGTCGGGTAGAATATTGCATTTCAGACACATGTTCTCACTGAGTTGCTTAGCAAGTCACTTTTGCTGAGGCTGGCTTTGAACTAGTGATCCTCCTGCCTCAGCCTGCTAAGCCAMTGGGATCCATTTATATTTATTTTAAAAATAATATTTAGCTAAGTTTCTAATTTTTGCCATGATTGCATCATTTAGATTTGGCTCACTTTCTTCCTAATTTTGGTGGCTGACTTGTGATCAATTTCAATGATAATGAACTAAGATATCTCTTTTAAAAACATTCTACTCAAGTCCCAATTCGAAAAAATACATAATAAATTTAACTGGCTTACTTTAAAATGAATCTTTTAGTTTTTTCACAGAAATAGGTTAAAAATATTGTACTACAAGTTTTAAAATGTTTGATTTTTTAGTGAAACACATGTTAATTATGATTAGCTAGGTTTCCATGTATAATACTATCAAACATTATTTACTGAACATATAGACCTCTAAAATCTGGATATTGATAAAAAGTTATAAAAATGTTAATAGTKTACATAGTTTGGGACATCTGTATGATTCCATGGTCTAATAACTATGTAAATATACATACTGTGCATAAAGATATAAACACAGTTTGCAGGAAAAAAATGAGGATAGCATTATTATTTCTACCATACAGAGTTGGCTACAAAAGCAACTCCCAACCATCTGAAGCAAAGACACTTGCTTTGACCTAGAACATCCTGGTGTACTGAAACACACACACACACACACACACACACACACACACAACACGCCACACACCCTTCTATTTTAACTCAAATTGATCTGTGCATTTTTAATTGCGAGAGTCAGCACCTAGATAAAATATAGGAGAGTGCAAGATAAAATTTGAAATTCTAAGTCTAGCTGAGTGTCAAAATTTGTTCCATAAATAAAAGYTCTCAAAGGTTTCAGTGTGGAAAACTATTTTGATAGTTGGAAATCGATGCAYGAGAATGTAACATGTAGATTTTATTTTTCACTCCTGTTTATTTCTCCATCCCATTTTTGACAAATGTTCTATTAAGTATGGACAAAACAAAATTAGGTAAAGTAAAGAGAAGTAAGGWGGTTATGTATCTAAATAATAAAATTGTTAACAAAATAACTACCCCAATGAAAGTATTAAATTTATTGATTATTTCAAAATAATTGTGGCTTAACTTTGGGATACATTGTATAATGAGGCATTTTAATATATTTTGGTTTTGGCAAATAGTAACTTCAGTTTACCTATGTGTATTAGCAATATGAAATAGTATTAAAAATGCTAACAGGCAGAGGGATGCAATTTTGCTTCAGGTACCACTGAAAATAACTCACAAGACAGATGACCAATATGTACAGATAATAAAGAGCTGACTGCATTGTATTTTCAAAATCCATTAACTTATAAGTCACAAAGCCTTGACTTCCTTTTAATTCATTCCAAATATTTTATTTGCCTTTGCCCCAAAACTGACACCTTGTGCAGAAAAGAAAAACRTTTCAATAAAATATATTTTCTAAACTGCAATTTCAATTCATTTCCATGGTTTTCTGAAGATCAAGGGTTGTTGTTCTTAAAATGTGTGGGTTTTCAATGCTGTTTAAATTCCTTGAATTTCAGAGCCTACAATCTTGGCTTTAGCAGTTTCATTGATATAAAGAGATTACGTTCACATGTTTCATTTCCTGTTTTCTACTATTTTATATGTTGAGATAGCAAAGTTATTCTTTTTGAGGAAAGTACTTGATTTCTCARCAATATAAATAATGAATACAGAATAGATTTAAACAATGTTTATCACAGATTTAGTTCAAAAGTAAGGCCTTTGTATTCATTTCTAAAACTCTTTCTAGAATGGTGGAGACAATTGGAATAAAAGGACTTGTTTGTTTACCTGGGCACAGTGTGGTACAGGCTATTTTCTGCACGCTCTGCCCCTCACAGAAGGCMCCGCCATTGAGTGGTGCTGGGTTGGTGCAGGTCCTTGTGCGTTTCTGATACCCTCGTCCACAACGGCTATTACACACAGACCACTCTGTCCAGGTGGACCAGCCACCATTWACTGAAAAGAGGCAACAGTAAAAAATGGATTAAATGTGTTATGTACACACAGACACACAAACCACACACAACACACAAATAGAAAGTCATCTTCCAAGTGACCATTGAAAAAATTCTAAAATTTCAAAGTTTTATTACATAATTGAAGAATCTAAACAAAGGGATACACAAAATTATTTACCGTAATTTACTTATACAGAAAAATAAATTATAATGTGCTCAGTTTTCCTTGGCTAATATTCTCTAAAAGTAAAATCTGTCCCCTTACCTAGTTGAACTCCCAAAATTACTTTTGATAGTTTATCTCAAATAATAAATGTTTACGTGTTTATGCGATGCCACAAGTGGATTTGTAGCATGGGGACTAAAACAGAAATCACTTAGCCTTTTGAAAGAAAAGGAACAAACAGATGATTGGTTATTTTTCTTTAGCATTTGCAAACTTTATAAGCTCTTAAGAAATTTTATTTTCACAAATTAAAAAGTAAACTTTGTTAAAAAGTAAAATCTCATAGTGTTGGAGTTTTAAATTGACCAGCAATTTGAGTGAATTGGCAATTAGTTGACATAATTGAAATGGACACCTCTTTTGTGTAGGAAACCTAATTATGGTGTTTGATGGAGCTGTCAGTACATGTATGATTATAAAACCTACACCCTAACACTCCAGAGACTATYCACCTTCAGAGAAAAACCTACACCCTAACACTCCAGAGACTATTCACCTTCAGAGATCTCCTCCTAGAGAATACTTATAGTTTATGAGTATTTTGATAATGTGAGTTCACATAATTACTATGCCAAAGCAATTTCTAAGAAAAATTATTTGCTGTAGTTCAAATATGGTACAACTAGTATATACATTTGTCTTCTGGTAATAAAGAAGTGTGTTAGCCATTGAAGTAATACAAACCATATATGTGTATCATTTGTTCAACTTCTTATTTGCTAGAAACCTATCCAATTGGGAATAAGCATGAGTTTGTTTACAAACAAAAGTTTTTTTATTCTTTCACAGCAGAGCTTTTTTAATATATAAAATAAAAAATTAAAACACTTGTAATGTTCAAAAACAGAAAGTGGTAACATAAACTATACTATATTAGCTTGTGTGATGAGACTCCTGGGCAGCCATTAAAAATGATGCTGAAGAAGGCTATTCATATATTAAAGTATATAAATATTGTGATGTTATGTTTTAAGTAAAGATAATACAGTATATCCCTTATTTTAAAATCCAATATATGCATAGGAAATATCAGTGGTAAAAAATATATATATAATGTTTTTTTAACAAAAGAGTCTCTGTGTATGATAAGATGACAGTATTATAAGTATTTTCCTCTTTGACATTTTCTATGTTTTTTGAATTTCTTCTACTAGCTATATATTCGTAATCTAAAAATTGTACTAATAAAAAATAGAGAGAGCAGACTCAAAATAAKAAATACTGGTTGGAAGTATGTTTTTCTATGGCCTTCTAGTGATCCCAGCCTATGAGCCTTGGACAACCCATTTCATGAAGCCATGAAAAGGATAAGTGTTCTAATGAGCAACTGAACCTGCTCAACTTAGCAACATTTCCCATGCCATGGAATTGTCTGTATAAAAGGCTTACTAGCCTATTGTCAAGCTATTGTTTAGGGCTGTAGGATACATGTACTACTCTACTCAAATTTTAATGAGAAATAAATAATCAGAAACTTTTAGAGACAGAAACATCTTTGCAAATCCAAGGCTCTATGCTTCATTTTACAGAAAAGGAGACAAGGGCTTAGAGAATCTTGGTTTAAAAAGGACAGTTAGTAGAGGATCTAGTCCTAGAATACATGATTCCTGACCTTAGTTCTGACCTTATCTCAAAATGCTTAAGTTACTAATGTTTGTTCCTTCCTAAGACAATGTAATCATTACATTTATAGATATTGAAAGGATGTATGCATAGGAAGAGATTTGCATGTGTGTTAAATATCTATATAATGCATCTATATATAGTCTGCCTTCATTAGTTATTTATGATTGGTACATGCAGTGATTGGACCCCATTTCTACTTTGCATTTCAAATGCTGTTAATCAAGTCTTTCAGGCAGCTTAGACAAAGATAAAAACTAGGAAACATTTTATTGTGATTTAAGAAACACAACTGCTTATGATTCAACATAGTTGTTATCTGGACGAGGAAATTAAACCTCAGAGTAATCAGAGGATTAAAAAAATTGTATGCATCTGTCCTGTAATTAAAGTGACAGTTTTAAAGCATCACTACATTCAGCCTTTGGAACATCATAATGTTTCTGTTCTCATAACTCCTTACATCATAACCACACATCCACTGGGATGGCAGGAGAGGCAAAATTTTAATCTCAATATTTCTAGGTTTGTTTTTTCATCTGGACCTGATTAAACTAAATAAGAGATAAAACAGGAGGAAAGCATATAAATTTATTTAATACAATATATAGGAAATTTCATAAAGAAATGAATACCCTAAAATGGCATTAGAATTAAATATTGTAGGCTGAATTGGACAAAGAGTGTTAAGTTTTGAAAAGGTAACAAAATTATGTGGTGAGGTTAAAGGATTTAGTGTTATTTTAATAAATCAGTATAGACTTATCTCAGTCTCCAATTCCTATCCTTAATGGTAAGAATGTTATTTCCCTTGTAGGATATGGAAAACACCTTTCATTTGAGAATTTAATTTCCTGATTTTAAGAAAAAGAAGGAAGATTAGAGTGATCTTTCTGTGCCTGCTGTTTTTCAAGTGTCTTTAATTCAAAAAAGGGTTAATAATCCAGAATGGCATATTTTGAGGTGCTATATTCTTAACTATTTGAGCACTACCTGCAGTAAGTACCATGAACCATATATGTGCCAGTGACTGTCCCTCTTTCAGTCCCTCAGACACCAAGTCCCCTGAATATCATTTCCCATGGAGGCAGGGATGCAATCTTTGTTATGCTCTGAGTGGTGCTGAGACCTGGGCATGTCATGCCAGAGGGAGTACCACCTCAAAATATTTCCCAGGGATGTGTAATTTTCTCTGGGACAATAAATCCACAATGCTATGAAGACTTATTGTCAGTCTAACATGGTGAGAAATATGTAAATACACATCCCAGTCTCATGGTCTACAAAAAAAGCTAAAAGCTTAGCTGGGGAGTTAAAAAACCACTTGAGAAATGACTAGAAGACAACTGAGAGCTAAACTGCACATGGAGATAAAAGCAGATATGCCACATTAAAATGTAGTGTGAAATTGGTTGGTACTTGAGGAGAAATGATAGGTTTAGAGATGAGCTGGATTAGAGAGGGGAAAAGCTTCCTGAAAACGTCCTCATGTGAGCCTTTGCCAAGTCGTGAGAATGAGTGTCACTCGATCGTGGCTGCCTTTATCTCTGTGCCTCTTTGGAGGGAGCAAAGCAAGTTCTATGGATATCAAGTTGTTCTGTGGTGTTTGGGAAACAGGTTAGCTCCAGTTTCCTTGAGGTTTCACAATCACAGGGCTGAGCCTAGGACCACAGATGCATCAGTGGGCTGGTTAAACACTTCCACCTCTAGACTCAATCCAGACCTTGGTGGTTYAGGTCATGGACAGGTGAAAGCTTAGGGAAGCAGTGTGACCTCATAGACATCCTTTACTTGTCTATGAACTGACTGACAAAGGACTAGCAAAGGCCAAGCCTAGTTTTTCTTAAGAGGATCAGAGAAGCAGCTATGGGAGACAGGACTGAATGGCAATAGGGACTGAGAAGTGTCCTTGACTCGAGACTCTAAAATAACAATGAGAAACTGCARTTTGACATGAGCTAGGTTGAAAACACCCAAATATGACACTCACCATAGACTATGACAGTAGCAGTTGTGCTTTTCCTCTTGGCAACAATGTTTTTGGCGACACAGGTATAATTTGCAGTATCTGAGAGGCGGGCCTGCTTTATGATTAGGTTGTGATCGATTGTGATATAAAAGTTTCTATCTTCAACAGGATCAATTATGTCTTCATTTTTCAACCATTCCACCTAAAGATGCAAACAAACAAACAAACACAAAAACAACAACAAAAAAAATCCAAACAGATAAATCCCCAGTGTGGATCCCTTGATGGCTGCCTATCTCCATTTGTATTTATATGTACAACATTGTTCCATGCTATGAACTTCTGCAAACCAGGGGGAAGTAACTTTCTGAGGTCATGTTAAGTATCACTCACCTGCCAAACATGCTGATTCTGTCTGTACTACATTATTCTCAAATGTCAATGAACCAATTGGGAAATACAGTGTTCAAATTGTTTTCACTTTGCCCTGCAGGCAGGAACCTGGAATGTGCACTGCCAAGTTCAGAACCCAATCAAAAATAATAGGCTAAGCATTTCCAACTGAACTCAAACCTTTTGCTATTTGATTTGTTTACTCTTGGCAAACTTACCTGCTGCTTTTCAGAAAAGAATATAAGGACTATAAAAAAGGCATTTTCGACATTATGTAGCTCTAACAAAATAACATTTGGATGATTTACTTGTAGCCTCACTGCAACATATGGATTAAATTTCCCTGAAAATGCTCAGACTTTAAAATGTAGCAAAAACACATATTTAGTGATGTATCTAAGCCAAAATATTTGGGAAAAAAAAAGATTTTTCTACCAATCCTCAATATAATCAAAATAGCTCATAAGTCATACTCTGATTTCTCTTTTTCTACCTGTACTATTCAAATATTTCACTCATGGTTTGCTTTTGGGGAACCTGACCTAAGACATGACTGTACAGAACTATTGAACTATTGTTTTTCTATGCAAATRATATCAATTTAGCAGCAGTGATGTTATCCTTGCTGAATAAAAGGAGGGAAATAAACCTGTACAGGCTGTCCTTCCTGAGGGTAAACTATATCATATTCTGGCTTTTTAAGCGATGCACAGGTTTTTCCATAAAGCAAAAACAATCTTGATATTTACCACACTTAAAGTTTCCTTTTGCATTAGAGTGGATGTGGATACAAGCAACCTTTAGTGGTAGGGAGTCAATATTGTTGCCATTTTCAAAATCTTAAAGAGCTTCTCTGGCACTGCAAGAGGTCTAAAAATTAATCTCTAAATCTGTCAGTGGGCTTGACACAGCACAGTTCTAAGTTATGTCTAATGCAGGGAGTCTCAAATAATGCTCCTCTAATCCTTACAAGAGGGGCCAACATTTTAAAGGGGAAAACAAAMGCCAATCACAATCCTGAAATATAGAGAGGGATGGGGATGCAGATTAGAGCAACTATTTGTAATAATGTAAATTTTGGAATAGTTAAACACTCTTGACATTTGTTCTAATGGTAGTGAGAAAGAGAATGGAATCCATAAAAAACAGGAGATTTTTAAAGTGTGTGTTTTGTTTTCAAATATAGAATATACTCRGCTAGGAGCATGCTTGGATATATCCGATATGCATACTCATACTCCCTGGAYCTGGGTGGATTTTCTCAGAGTTTGGTCCAAGTACAATATTATGATCTTGATGAAAATACACAGGAGAAAGTAGCAAAATGGATCCTGTCTGAAATCTCTTTGAAGATAGTTGAAAGTAGACATTCATATATTTTGAATCTAGTCTTTAACTGGGTTATCTCTGCTGCTATCCTAAAGAAAGCTTTCTATTTATAGAAGCATTCTTGGGYTCCATTTCCATTGGTCTTGGATCCCTACTTTTTGTGTTAATATGCTTATTTCTCAAGGATCCATATCTCCTGTTCTTTGAGGGATATCCCTCAGACTCATGAACTCTCAGGCACAACTTCTCCCCACAGGCTTTCTGCTAACCATTGACCAATGGGGGCAGAAATATGCCTACTGTCCAACTGGGTCAGAACTGAGTTGAAACTCCTCAGAGTTTGGTCAGTCTAAATGTCGTGACCRTGAGACCTTGACTGAATTTACCCTAGACATCTTCGCCTTTTATCTCCCACTTGCTCTGCTCATTTCATGAGCTCTACTGGGAGTACTTCCTTAAAAAGCTACTTGCAGTTAAATGTTTGGCTCTTGGTTTTCTTCTGGAGAACTTAGCTAAGTCATGGCTGTCCAAAACTCTGGCTTCTCTATGTAAATTGACATCAGTTTAACAACAGTTAAGTTATCCTAATCACAACTGACAAAAAGAAATCTCAAGGGATATTGCAAATCTCAAGGGATATTGCATACTTGTTTATTGGAAGGGTTTATTACATGGAAGAAAGAGTTCAATTTGCATGGTTGACAAAAGATTTAAAGAAACATACGTACTTGCTGGGTATATGATCTTTATGTTATCATACATAATGCCACATTTTACTTGGTTGTTTCTCACCAATTTTGGATCAGTGATTTTGTCCTGAGCCTCTGGAACCCCTAAAAGTCCCCCATCCCCTGCAATGCTGTGGACGCTCCAGGGTCCTGTGCAGGGCACTGTTCTCCTCCATAATGACCTCTTTAATTCAGAAGCTCTGTTTTATCTTTTCCATATTTGGTTGGCTTACATACCTTCACTGGAAGAAACAGAGGGTTCTAAAGCTAGGAAATAGCTATAAGAATAAAGGGAGAGCTAAAGATTCTTCCCCAGCTTCTGGCAAGTTCCCTCAGTTCCCTGCAGTGCTGTACCACCAACTGTGCCATAGTCCTCTGCTTTGAGAACATCACCTCCAGGGGAGGCTCAGTTCAGGACTGCAGGTCATCCCTCACCTCCTGCACCATGATCCCTGGTTGTGCTACACATCTCCATTGCTCCAAATCTTGAAACCTTTCCATGCTGGCTTGATATCCAGCAGCAAAACCTCCCAAGTTTCAACCTCATTTTAGATTATTTACTTCACATTTTTCCTACTTAAGYCCAGCTCATTTTGGATATTTCTTTTGGAGTCCTCTCAAGTGGTAGATGTTTGATTTCCAAAGTCCAACTAACCTGAGCCTGGCAATCAGGTAAGTGTCCTTGTTCTACACTGTCTATTTCAGTCCATTCTTTTTCGCTCTGAATCTCATGATGAAAAGCAGAACTTTTTAGGATTAAGGGATTAAAGTCTCTCAGGGCAGGATGAGACAGGCAGCCTAGCTCTCAGTCTTATGTTATTAGTAGCCATCTAGGAAAATTAGGAGTTAAAAAGTGAGCTTGACTTCAGGGCTATGAACAAGCCAGGAGACAGGAGGCTGAGAAGTCAGCTCAGCCCTCTGAGATTATGTAGTCAGCAGAAATGCCAASAAGCTGGAGCCAGACAAAGCAAAATCACCATGTCAAGGCCCCTGAGACAGAACAACAGTCTGCCTGGTTCTGAAATAACCTTAGGAATTTTCTCAGATGATAAGGAGCAGCTCCAGGTGGTGAGAGACAAATTCATGTGAAGAATAGTCACTAAAGAAACTCAAGGTCACCTTTACCTTATTAGCATAGTAAAATATACAGCTCTAGGTGGAGATTGAAGAGGGTAATGAGACAGGGGACTCATRAATTAGCCTAAGAAGAAGATACATGCACAACCAAACCCCCACCTCTACATGTGATGACATCACAAAACTGGGTTTCTACCTGCCCCATAAATGCCCATAAAAGCTACATATCTTCGTCCTTTGCTTGTACCTGCCTGAGACTCTGCGTCAGTGTCTTCTCCCTTCTCATTCATGCAGAACCCCTCCCCCAACAGTCTTGTTACACTGTAACCTCTGCCTGATTCTTCAGTAGGGAGCACAGAAGCCAAGAGCCAGCGACAATGCCCTCAGATATCACCTAATTCTGTGTTTTTTTTCCTATAGTCATCTACAGACTTCTGGGCTTATAGTTACTCCACCCAACAAAATTTCTGATGACTTTAACAGCCTCAAAGATGACACTTTTCATGTCGTGGCCCTTCAGTTTCATGTCCCTTTCTCCCAGAACACTCTTGGCTACGAAGATCACACATTCTAGGCCACAGGTTTTCAACCCTGGTTTTATGACAGAAACACTTAGAGAGTATTTGTAATGYGTGAGTTCTAAACTCCATCCAGAGAAACTTCTGACCCATAGAAATTCTGATTCTCTGATCGGAAGAGGTCTAGAGTCAGTATTTTTAAATTTCCCCAGGGGGTGGTAATTTACCRCTAGATTATTGCCTTTCAAACTGAGGTCCCTGGACTAACAGCATCAGAGTCACCCGGGGAGCTTGACAGAAATGCAGAACTCAGACTCTGCCCACCTAGACTTACTGATACAAAAATGTGCTCCCTAACAAGGATTTTGGTTGATTTATATRCCCATTTAAGGTTGAGACATATTGGTTTGGCTCTTGTCCTTACCATTAATTACGAGCTCTCTGAAAATTCAATTTCAAACATGCCTTTTAATATTTTCTGTCTTTCCTGCTCACTTTCCTTAGGATCTCTTGCTCAACAATCCTCTTCACCCARACTTAAAAGCTACTTTATTTACCAATTTCATTTCTTACTCTCCTTTAGCTACCTATTCCTTCTTCCCTAAGCATAAATTCAATGTCTAATTTTATAAATAATCTTTACATTATACCCTCAGCTCACTCACGCTTCTTCTCTTACTTCTGGGAACTCACTGGTCACTATTCCCCTCTACCACCTCTGAATCCTTGAAGTGGAACATGGCTAGAAACAGCCATATTGGATGCGCTCATCCAAAATTCATGAAAACAGAACACAAGTGGGCTTTGGATTCTGCCAAAAAGTCATACTATATTTTCATCATCTGCTCACTCTCCCATTCTCCTAGACAAATGTTTCACACTTTGTCCTCTCTCCTCAAACACTACCTCCCCCTCGCTCCTCAATTTCAGCTGATGACCAACACGAATATGTAACCGAGAAAACTGACAATCAGTTGAGATCTTCCAAAGCCCCCATCTTCTGCCTACCCACCCCTCTTCTGCACCCTCTCCCTCAGCACTAGGAGAGCTCTCTGGGATCCTGTATGTCACCTCTGTGTTCCATTCTCAGGCTCCTATTCAAGGACAAGTCYCAGCAATTTCCTTTCTTCTAAATCGTTCAATTTTGCCTCAATTCA